TCCTTCTTTCTTCCTTTCCTTCCTTTCTTCCCTTCCTTCCTTATATTAACAATTGAACCCAGTGTCTCACAGGTTATACCATTTAAGCCACACTGCCAGCCCTTTCCTTTGTATTTTGTCTTTGAACAGGTTCTTGCGAATCTTGGCCACTACTTTGGCTGAGGTTGGGCTCAAACTCACAATTCATCTACCTCTACCTCCCAGGTAGCTGAGATGATAGGCATGTGCCACCAAGCCTGGCAACATCTGACATATTTCTATTTGACTAGTAGAGAATTAGCCAAGACGTTCCATAAATATGCTATGGAGGCAGAGAACATAAAGGGCTGAATTGGGAAAAGAGTGATGGGAGGGTGGGGTCGGGCGATCAGATGACGTCTCTCAGAGCATTTGCAGTTCCAGACTGAGCTCCTCACTGTTAAACTGATTACAGAGCTCCACTTGCTCCAAAGCTTGGGTTCTGTAGTTTCCCATGCAGAAATTCACGCCTGCAGGCATGCGTACGGTTCAGAAATACTAGTCAAGAACACAGACGGCTGGATCTACTTTCAGCTCCACTATCTGGGCCCCTTCGGTAGATGGGTTTACCAATCTGGGCGGCTACCTCTCCTATTAGAGCCTCTGAGCCTCTTTTGTCTTTCCTTTGCTCCTTTTCAATGTTGTCTAATTTAGACTTAGTCAGAGCCTGCCAGGGAACGGCTACTTAGAGGTGTCAGGAAGTTGCACATTTGGTGGACTTCAAGAACCTTCCATTCCGCCCCCCTCCCCTGCCCAAATAATTCACAGAACTAAGTAGCAGGCTTCAGTTGTAGAGTTTTTTTTTCTAAGGAAGAGGAGAGACACCGAGGAAGGAATTCTTGTCATCAAAGCTGTTACTTGGTCACATTTTTCTCCTCTCTGATCATCTTCTTTTAGGGCTCTCCTATCAAAGTGTCCTGGACATTGCACAAACTTATTTCATGATAAAGAATTACCTAGGAATTTTAATTAAAGAAACAACTAAGCAAGCAAGCAAGCAAACACAACCAGAGTTCCATCCAGGTCTGCTTCTGGAGTTGTGATCCTGTTGGTTGGTTGTTATTATTATTATTATTATTGTTATATAGGTGTGGTATCAGTAGTAGTAACAGTTGTAGTAGCAATAGTATTGGAAGTACTGGGATTTTAACCTACAGCCTTGTCATCAGTCAGCATGTGCTCTACAGCTTAGAGCCACGCTTCATCCCCTTTTGCTTTAACTTTGTTTTCAGTTAGAGTTTTACACTTTGCCTTAGATAACAATCCTCATACCCTTGCCTCCAGAGTAGCTGGGATTATAGGCATGATCTACCACAACTAGCCCCTTAAATTGGTCTTTTTTTTTTGGGGGGGTCTGGTCATGGGGCCTGAACTCTGGGCCTGGGCGCTGTCCCTCAGCTCTTCAGCTCAAGGCTAGCGCTCTACCACTTGAGCCACAGTGCCACTTCCGGCTTTTTTTTTCTTTTTGCTTATGTGGTGCTAAGGAATTGAACCCAGGGTCTCAGGCATGCAAGGCAAGCGCTCTACCACTGAGCCACCTTCCCAGCCCTTAAATTGGTCTTTATAAGGAGTGTACTAGGATTGAGGAACACCTGCAGAGCGGTTGGAAACTGAGTCTCAGAAGATCAAAATGGCTCATTTACCAGCTATTGCAAGCTGGAGTTAAACTTAGTCTTGAGTTCAAGCCCTGAGGCCATAAAGAAGTTAGAATCAGAAGTCTGATTCCTGGTCTTCCCACCGACTGGCTGTGTGCCACCAAGCAGGTGTTTCCTTCACTCACCAGCAATGTACAAGACGCAGGCAGTGGAAATGCCCTCAGGTCTTCCTCTGTGAAGGTACAGTTATAAACTCTCAAGGGGTCTGTTAAAATAGTTCTGATGGGGGCAGGCTGGGAATGTGGCTTAGTGGTAGCTTGCCTGCCTAGCGTGCATGAGGCCCTGGGTTCAATTTCTCAGTACATAAACAGGAAAAAGCCAGAAATGGTGCTGTGGCTCAAGTGGTAGAGTACTAGTCTTGAGCAAAAGAAGCTCAAGGACAGTGCCCAGGCCCTGAGTTCAAGCCCCAGGACTGGCAAAAAAAAAGAGTCCTAGGTGACTTAGCCCAAAGCTCCTGCATCATCCAGATGTTTGAACCAAGTGAGCGTCTCTGTGCCTTTTGTGAAGCCTTTTAGAAGGAATCATGTAAACCCCTGGTCCAGAGATGACACTAAACTAACTCACTTCCGGTCAAGACGCGACGTTGCTGTCACTCATCCTCCACCTCCAGATCTTGCTGGGTTCCACACCCCCATCAGTGCTATTCAGAGTTAAGTGATGAGCAGAACACAGCAGCAAACACAAAACCATGAGGACCAGGCATCGGAGAAGAGAAACAGGAAATACATCAGCCAACATTGTTTCCATGAGCAGCAGAGCAAGCTGCTTTTTTCTTTCTTTTTTTTTTTCTTTTTTATGGCTTTGAATTTTCCAGATTGACTATGGAAAAAAAGCTTTTCACTTTACTTATCATTAAAAGGAAAAACTTTCCTTTAGGAAAAACAAATCACCATAATTATATAAAAGTGTCTCCATCTAACTCTTTAAAAAATTGTTATTGTTATTGAAAAGGTGATGTACAGAGGGTTTATGTTTGCATAAGTCAGGTAAGGAGTACAATTCTTTTTAAATAATGTCCCTCCTTCCCTTGCTCTCTCCCATTTTCCCCTCCTGTTCACATCCACAGGTTGTACAGTTCATTTTCAACCTAGTGTCTAATATCACTGATGCATTTGTTCACCCTTAGTCCCTCCATTTCTTTCCCTCTCTCACCCCCAAAGACAGACAAACTAAGAAACAAAAAGGAAATGAAAATAAAAATAGCAACAGAGAAAGAAAAGATCCTTGTTTCCATTTCCTGGAGTTCATTTCAATAAAAATTATTTCATATGGTCAGATTCACATAGCTGTTGAGCCTATGTGATCTTCTTCTAAGAACTTCCTCTTTTGGTCTCACTCTGTGTGAATGCCTAGAGACCTATATAATCTATCCTGTCCCAGTGTACTTCTTTTAGTTTTAGCATCCAGTGTGTTTACTTGTAGATTTATAGGCACATTCTATTTACCACAAATAAGAGAAGCCAAGCAATCTATGTTTGTTTGGGTCTAGATGTCCACTGCAACCTTGTTTTCCATAGTCAAGATACGGAATCAACCCAGATGCCCCTCAGTGGCTGAGTGGATATATAGTATACATACACAATGGAATTCTACTCCTCCATCAGAAAGAATGATGTTGTACCATTTGTGAGGAATGGAATGACTTGGGAAAAAATTGTATTAGCTCTTCTTTTTATATTGCCTTTCAGGTTTTCAGAATTGTTACTATTGTTCAAGTTTACACATGAGACATTTTGGAACCCAGCTTTTCTGGGGAATAAAAGCATATAAGTTTGAAAGTTGATTCATGTTTTATTTTGTGATTATTGAGTTGAAGAAGTTGAAATGGCAAGTGTCGTACTCCACTGTGTTCCATTAAATAGCAGGTACTATTTTTTTGGAAGGCTGGAAGGCTGCCTTTTCAAGCATAATTGTTGTTTTTCTTTTTTGGTGGTCTTAGGATTTGATCTCAAGGCCTCACACAGCTGTCACTCTACTACTTGAGCCATGCATCTAGCCTAGCTTTTTGCTGATTAATTAGAGATGGAGTCTCAAATATTTTCTTGCTCAGACTGGCTTTGGTCTTCTGAATCTCTGGCTCCTGGTGAGGTAGGTAGGCCTGCAGGCAGGCGTGTGCCACCAGTGCTTGGTTCAAGGATAATTTTCATGTGGCAAAGGCTTCAGTTTGCTTAGTGAAGTTTTCCTTCTTTGGACATCCAGCTACATTCAGTTAGCTAAAATCACCCTTAGATTATGTCTCAAAGGCAACTTGCCATTATTTTTTCTATTCTTAACTTCAGGGAGGCTTTTAAATATTCTAATTTTAAACTGTTGCTTCAGCTGACCAGCCCAATATGATATGGCTATTAATGACAGTATTTATAAGGTTTCCTAGAATAAGTTTTGTTTTCCCCTAGAATGAACTTAATTGGCACTCAAATACTTCCCGTTAGCTGTGAAGACTGCACAGAAAAATACTTTACTGGCATGTATCTCTGTCTTGCCCTGGCTGACCCCTCCCTAATCCTGGCTTCAAGAAAAATAATGCCAGGCCAAGAGTAGCTAGGGGTTTATGAAGTGTCTCCTAGAACTAGCAGACTCAGTGAGGATGTGGGTCTTTACCCAGCATGCCTGGGGCTGAGAAACTCTTGTCTTGCTTATTGGACTGATACTATTCAAATGGAATGCAAAGGCAGTGGAGCCTGGATGAACTGCTAGAAAAGCAGAAACAGAGGCACGCACATAGCACAGTGGTGTTGACTGATGTTGAATATGCAAGACCCTAGCAGGTTAGATCTAACAGCATGAGGCCCTTCATGCAGGAAGGATTTGCTATGAAGGTGAATAGGTCTGCTCATCTCTTGGAGGCAGGAGACTGGAACACAGCTTAGTTTGACTCAGTTCTGGGATCTTGGCCACTGCACCCAGACCGGGTGTTAATTGAGGGGTTCTGAAGCTCAGGAAAGAAGACAAGGTATGGTAGAACTCAGTAAGCCAGGGGCTAGGGATCTTGTGACTTTGTATGCGGAGACGTTTGGCCTGTCAGCTTTCTCCATGGCACTGTGTGTGGCTCTTCCCTTCAGGAAGTGGGGTGCCAGTGCTCTGAACTCTCTCCACACCCACAGCAAGAGACTCATATGCTGCACTTAGAGAAAGTACTCTAACGAGGGCAGTTAATCACCCGTGTGCATTAGGTGGCAACGCCGCCAGTTATCTCCCCTGGCACCTGCTTCTCAGAGGGGTGAGGAGATCTGGTTCCTGGCAGCTACTTCCTTATTTACATTGTGAGGCTTTGTGCCAAGGCCTCGGCTTTGCAAGCCCAGAAAGCATCACGGCAGCAGGAAATGTTTGAAAGTCCACATGTGTTACCGTCCCGGGCCGGCCCCTTCCACCCACTACGTGTCATGACCCAGCCAGTGCATGAACTGACCTGTTCCAGGAAGTCCTGCAGCAGAGCTCTCTGTAAGTCTTCCATTCACAGTCAAGGAAAACCCAAGCTCTAGGAGACAGACTAGGTCACTTTGAGTTGCCCAGCCAGGTGGCAGAGCTAAGAGCCCTGGGCACAACTATTTGCCATCTCTGCCCAGCTTTCATGTGCTGTTTGCATAGGAGGGACGTGGCTAGCAGCTAGCTTTTCTACCCCATCTGGAGCCACTGCCCTGAGTCTTTATCAAGGGATGTTTTCTTTGACTCATTTGCTTTTCTGGAAGTGAGGATAAAATCTGGAATCAGTGGGGTCCTGTAACAAAGAGTCTCTAGTAGAAGGCCTGACAGCCAGAGGCCTGAATAGAATAGAGTGGCACCTTCCAGGTGTCACCATGCATGGCTGAGAGGCGGCAGAGCACAGAGAAAGTTCTAGATCCTAAGATCTTTCAAAGCTTCCACCTGCTACCATGCATTTCAATTTTATCACTCTCATTAGATGGGCACAGTTTGGGGGCTCAGTGAGACTCAGGGTGTAGCAGCCACAAAGGATGGAGGAGGCTGTAGCGGGAGAGTGATTTCCCTTCAGTGTTCCATCACAGATGGAGGATAGTGGTGAGGCTCAGGAGCAGCCTCATGACTGACCCTTCCCAGGCTGGAGTGGACTGGCAGGCTCGTCAGGACACAGGTCTGGCGAGAGCCTCCTCTGCTCAGACCTTGGAGGGGTCGAGCAGGCCATGCAGGGCCTGGCCTCTCCCAGAGGGTCAAGAAAAGCCTCCAGAGTAATTGTTCACAAAAACACCATGCAAGAAGGTAGAGAAAAACCAAGCCAAACCAAAACAACCATGACAAAACCATGCAGTCAACGCCACGGATTCCAGGGTTAGAAATGGGTAGCACACCTTCACCCCTGTTCAAAGTGATGACAGATATTTATCATAAACAATGAACCATTTAAGCGAACAAGTTAAGGTTAGCACTCCTTGCCCTTGGATCCTAGACCGTCTCTATCTGGTTCTGGAATTCTTCTAATCACTTCTGGAAAGGGGTCATATTCTCAAGAAGCTCTTGTTCCCGTGGTCCCGCCCACTCTCTGGCAGCCTCCAATCTGCTCTCGGCCTCAGAAATAACATATTCTGGGAATTTCAGGTAAATGACAGCATACAACAACAGCCCGAGATAGGCTAAATTGTGATTTTTGTGTTTGCTACATCTCACCTTCCTTGGGGTAGTATAACAAAAAAAAAAGATGCATGTTTTGTGACTAATAATCTAGAAATTGAGAGGGGGGGTGAACCCCATGGGGGGAAAATAAAAATCAAAGATAATCCTTCAGAATAAGTAGGTTAATAGTTCAAAGATAAGCCTTGCATATTTTCTGCCAGTAGCATATAGGCTGCTGTGTTTCCTGAGCAAGTTTCTTAACCTCTCTGTGCCTGGAGCATGGAGACAATAGTAGTTTTTCACTTCATGGGCTTATTGGGAAGACAAATGAGTAAAACTGGAGCAAGGATGCAGTGCACATCAGCCATTGCGATTTTCGCCACAACTCAGTGGAGTCAGGATTATCATATGTAACAGAGGATGGGAGCAAGGGTCAGGAAAGGGAAAAGGGAAGAGAAATGAGCATTCTTTTCCCAGCCCCTGGATATTCTCTCTGACTATCCTCACCTCAGTTTACAGAGAGGACAGTTGAGGCATGGAGTTAAGAAGTCACAAGAGCCTATCCCTAACATCCTGCAGCCAGCGGAGACTGCAAACCTTGGATACAGTCTCCTTACCTCTAGGTGCTTCCGGCATCTGGCATGGTCTTCTGGGTGTCCCGGGACTTCTGTCTGCTTCATCCCAGGCTGCCTGCTCTGCTCATCTTCCTGCAGAGGTAGCGCTGTGCTGGCAGGCCTGTGGATCCCAGACACTGCTCCGACACCAGGCAATGCCTTCAGGGGATGCCACCATTGACCAGCATCCCTCCCCCCGCCCCCTTTACAGATGCAGTCTCCCTTGAGTCCTGGGGAGAGGGCGAAGCTGTCCAGAATGAGGACAGACACCTCTAAGTCAGGTCCAGCCAGGAAGACATTGCCTCTGGCCTGGCTTCTCATCCTAAGATGACACCTGCTCATTGAGTCTGTGTTTGATCCTGTTACCAAAGCGATTCCCTGAGCCTATAGAGCTTTCCCTGAGATTCACTGCTAAGCCTCGAGGCTGCTGCCTTTTCCCAGGATGCTAATTAAAAACATCACTAGACCAACCTAGCATCGTAAATCATTCAACTTGGAGGAGTGTGGGGACCTGGCCGCTCAGGGCTGGCCCGCTGCTCCAACCCCAGCAGGGCGGTGAGTTCTTGCAGTCTTGTCTTTCTGGGGAGAGCTTCAGCTTGGGAGAAAAGACTTCCCAGGAGGCGGCAGCTCCCCAGTATCTGGGAGCCCAGGGACTAGAGGCCCACATAGCTGCCAGCTCAGCCTGCAAGAGGACGCTTGGTAGCTGGTCACACGGGACTGGAGTCTGCAAGCAGGATCGTGCTGCAGCAACGCCAGGCAAGGCTCTCCAAGCTGGAGCTGCAGCCCTGCATGGAGGCTTCCCGAGTTCCCAGGCAGACCAAGAAGCTGAAAGCGGAGCTGTGGCTCCAATGGACAAGTGCTAGCCTTGATCAAAATAGCTCAGCGACAGTGCCCAGGCCCTGAGTTCAAGCCTCAAGGCAGGCATTACATCGGTCTGTCTGTCTGTCTATCTATCTATCTATCTGAATGTGAAGGAAGAACTGCAGATGACAGCAGATTCTGAGCAAACTGACACCAGGACTCTGCTTTCCAGATGAACGTCCAGTCATGGATGAATCCAAGGGTGACTTTGGTGCACATGCTCCCGTCCCCTCGCCAGAACCAGGTAAATACATCTAATAGGTCATCATTATCCTTCTCTCTCTCCCTCTCCCTCCCTCCTCCCTTCCTCTCTCTCTCTTTTCTCTTCCTTTCTCTCTGTCCCTCCTTCCCACCCTCTGTTTCTCTCTGTCTGTCTCTCTGTCTCTGTCTCTGTCTGTCTGTCTGTCTGTCTGTCTGTCTGTCTGTCTGTCTGTCTGTCTGTCTCTCTCTCTCTCTCTCTCTCTGTGCCAATACTGAGGCTTGAACTCAGGCCCTTGAGCTCTTGCTCCTGCTCAGTTTTCCCCCCAAGGCTGGCACTCTACACACTTGAGCCACAGCTCCATTTCTGGCTTCTCACTGGTTAATTAGATATGAGTATGTCTCAGATATGTCTGCCTGGGCTGGCTTCAAACCACAATCTTCACATCTCAGCCTCCTGAGCAGTTAGAATCCCAGTTAAGACCCACGGTGCTCAGCATACAACCCGTGATTTACTTTGCCATCTTTCTCAGCTAAGAATTGGACTTGTGGAAGTAATGAGAGAGGCTACATCTCCTCAAAAAAAAAATTTATGTCACATATCCCAAAATATAGGCAGGGAAGAAATACCATGAATCTAAACAACCTGCAGAGGCTAAAAGTGGGCATGGTGATCAGGGTCAGGAAGTCACGTTATTAGTGATCAGAGTCAGGAAGTCACGTTATTAGTGATCAGGGTCAGGACGTCACATTATTAGCCACATAGGACATAATATGGCTTGTGAAAGGTAGGAGATGGTTACACGCACTTCCAACTAGAGTATCTTGCTAAGACTTTCATTTAAAGTCAACGATACATCAGGGGGGTAAAAAGGCAGAATTCTTGCTGCAGAATTTGAACCAGGAACTATAACCTTCTCATTCGTTCTTATAGCTGGCAAATTGTAATTATTACCTCTTCCTCTAGATGACAGAGACCCTGACAACAGGAAACATTTCTTTCCATCGTTAACAGATAGTTGTGGGCGCTGTGGGAGGCTGCTATGGGGAACATCGATGATCACGTTTAGTCAGTTTTCTGTGTCTCAGGTGTCACGGGAGAGGCAGCAAGCTGGCGAAAGGAACCATCATCATACTATCCTAAAACAGACATGCCGGTGGCCAAAGTTTTTGTTGAACACACACACACACACACTCACACACACGCGCACGCACACACACACACACACACACTCACACACACACTTTAAGATTTCGAATACTGGAACCCCCTAGGGTGGAGTTCAAACAGATAAGAAGAAGGAAAGAGGAAGAGAAGAAAGTCACTCACTCTGTCGACTATGATATATATTTATAATACACTATGCTGATATTGAATATGAGTTTTTTAAAATTATTAATACATAGAAGTGTGGACACCTTGATACTATTTTTATACATAAGAGGGCATTCTTATGGCACAATGGCAGACAGTGTAGACTGTGTGTTGACTTTGTGAGGAGACTTCAATAAGACCCCTATAATCTGATGGACAGCCAGCACCACAAGGGATCAGCGACCCTGGGATGCAGAATGACAACGGTGGACGTGTCCTTTGTGGGTAGAATCACATTCCTTTAGATTTAATTCCTTTAGGTTTAATGCTTTTTTTTTTTCAATCTGACACTAAAGATCCTTGAATATAGTAGGAAAAAAATGTTAAGAGATTGCCCTTGTATTCCAGTGAGCTATAGGCTTTTCTTAACAGTTTTTATATTTTATTAACTTTTTTTTTTTTTTTACTAATTGTATTCATTGTTCCAGCTGCGGCCTGGGGATGAGGAAGGAAGGAGCAGTCTGCTTGGGAAAGCAGCAATGTTGAAGCAATCGGAAGGCATCTACAGAGATCTGAAGGGAAGTTGCGGTTATGATAACAAATAACAGACAAGACATATTTTGAAACAAGTTTGCATCCTTCTGGAACCCTAAGAGAGAATGTATTAAAATCTTTCCTTTTCTGCTAATCAAGTGCATTATTTGGGAGCATGGGCTTAGGCTAAATAATTAGGGGCAAGGCTTCTAATAGATTAGAAAACTTGGAAATACCCAGGCACTCACTGGACTCGCTTAAGTTTTACTTTTGGTCTGAGTATTTATCTACATATATTACTGGATTTTCCTTAGTGCCTCTGGGAAGCGAAATAGGCAAACGCTTACCTATATTTGACATCTCTGGGCTGATATAAACATTCTTTTACTTCAGTGAAAGGCTGACATTTGTGTGCTTGCAATGAAAACTGAGATGCATGGGAAATTCAGGCATAATTTCATCACCTTGAGAACCAATTACATCATTCTACTATTCTACATTTCTAGATTTCAATTTTCAGGGCAAAATTATTCTCAATACATAACAGGAAGAATCAAGTGCATGCAAAAGTATAAGAAACAAAAACTGAAAGAAAAGCAACAAATTAAAATGGCATTTTTGAAATATTTGTAGTCTCCTTTTTCCCCCAATCTGTATGTTGGGTTTTTATTGAAATATTTTTTAATAGGATTGTTGAGAGAAATATTCTTGCCTTGACTTGTTCCCAATCGTGTGTGTGTGTGTGTGTGTGTGTGTGTGTGTGTGTGTGTGTGTGTGTGTTCAGTTCTTCCATAGCTTGAACTTAGTGCTTCCCTTTTAATATGATTGCTTGTTTGGCCATTGCTCTACCACTTGAGACATGCCCCCAGCCTTGCTTTTAGCTGGGTATTTTGGAGATGGAATCTCAACAATTTTTCTGTCCAGGCTGGCTTCACACTACAGTTTTCCAGGTCTTAGTTTCCAGAGTGCCTAGGATTATAGGTGTGGACCATCAAAGCCAAGCATTCTTTCTAATCTTAAAGATAAATTGTTCAGCCTTTTAACATTAGTGTGAGGTTAGGTGTAGGGTTTTTGTATATTGCCTTCATTATGCTATTGAAGTTCCACTCTAATCCTAGATTATTAAGAATTTCCAGCATGGCTCAACTATATGAGTTTTCTAATTCAGTCTGCTAAAACTATGCTGATTGATTTGTGAAATGTTTAACTACTGGTTTCTGAATTCCTAAATGATTACAATGTCATCTTTTAAAAATATTACTAATTCAACCTTGTGTGTTCATGTCTACATTCAGGAGAGACAATGGCTTGTAATCTTCATTTTTTGTAATATTTTTATGTCTTTGGTATTAGATTAATGCTGCCCTCTTAAAATTACTAGAAAAGTATTCTCTTTGCTTCTATTTTCTAGGAAAATAGAAATAGTATTACTTCCTTAAATGTTTGGCAAAGTCATGAAGAGATTCTAGTGATCTATTTTTTTAAGGCTTTTAATTATCAATTCCATTTTTAAAATGGATTGAAGGCTACCATGGTTATCTGTTTCTCCATGTGAGGGATTTCATTTATTTTTTAGCTTAGTTTTTCCAGTACCTGGGTTTGATCTCAGGGCCTCACACTTGGCTTGGTTTGCTTGCTCTGCCTGGTACTCGAGCCATGGCATCTCACAAAGCTCTACGCCTGGGCTGTGCTTGACTCTCAGTCCTCTGGATCTCAGCTGCTGAGAACCTAGGATTGCAGGCACAAGCCGTTAGCTCTCTGCACTGTGTGGGTTTTGATAGTCTCAGTCATGGATCATCCATTTTGTCTGCTTCAAATTTGTGAGGAAGTATTTCTCCTCAAGCAATCAGAGCTGTAGGGTGTGGCTTTGCTTCACAGATTTTGTATCAGCATCACAAACCAAATTCTCCAGCCAAGCAAGTAGAGAAGCGGTGTTTTAAACCTCATGCTTACTAAAAATAGAAGGATAGGCAGGGCTGTAACCTCAGTGGTAGACCACTTGCCCAGCACATATGAGGGTTTGCTTTCCAGCACTGGACTTGATTTATCAATTAATTGGTGGATTGACTTTAAAAAGTGAAAAGCATGTAAGAAAATCTTGGGAACTTGTTTGCCATGTCTATATTAGCTACATCTGTATCCTTCTGTCAGCAGACCAAATGAATCATCTTCCGTCAAGAGTAGACAATGGGTATCTACTTAGTATTAACAAGTGTTAGAGAGGCTGTTTAGGAAAAGTTTAGCAATTGCTGCTGGAGAGATATGGTTCATATACTCTAATTTCAAATTTTAGGTTGTCTACTAAGTTGTTTCAGAAATAAAAATTCATTCTTTTTAGACCAAATGACAGATTTAGCTTTAGCTTGGACTGTGACCAAAGACTTATCATACCATTTGCCAGTTTGGAATTTGGCCAAATACATAGTCAATACATAGTCAGTTCTCCTTTAGAACACACACACACACACACACACACACACACACACACACTTCATTAGCTTCCTCAAGCTTCATCAGGCTCTGTATTATAATCATATTGACAAAAATTCTTAGGACTTGCAAGTACGTCTTTTGTCAATATACCTGTCCTTTCAGATTCTCCTGTTCCTGACCTGTGGTCCCTAAATCTTGAGCCGGACTTGTTTTTGCCAGTTTCGCTCCTCTTTGGAACTTTCTTGTAGGGATGACAGAGCATACACGCACGCTGTGCAAAGGCATCCATTTCTCCGGTGGACAGAGAGGCACGTTCATGTCAGGGGCAGACAGGAAAACCACAGTGGGAACTTGCTTTCAACATCTGGGACTTACTTCACATGTGTGTCATTCTGGTCTTAGGAATACCTTTCAGGAATAGATCTAACAGTGCACAGTGTCTTAAAGGAGTTATGGGTTCACTTTCTCATGTAAATGGGTCCGGAAGAGGACTGCCCAGAGCAGAGGGCTGACTGCATGTCTGTTGTGACCGAGGTGCCGTCTATTCTTTTGCCTTCCTTTTCTTTACATCCTCCAGGTTACCACTTGGTCCAAAAAGGTTGCTGAGCTCCAAGACATAATATAGGCATTGGAAGCCATACTAGGACCTAAAAGTTTGTGTCCTCCAAATATTCCAGTTGAAATTCAAATCCCAAAGGAATTAGACAGGGGGCCTTCAGGAGGTGATTAGGCCTGAGCAGAACCCCAAGAATGGGATTAATGCCTTCCAAAAGTGGTGGAGAGAGGACCCCTCCCCCCCACACCTAGCCCTTCCGACCATGGGAGAAGACAGTAAGAAGCACCAAAAATTGAGTGAGCTGTCACCAGATATTTCTCTGTCAGCACCTAGATCTTGGACTTCCCGGTCACTAGAACAGTGAGAATGAAATTCTGTCTGTAAAGAATGCAATGTATAGCCTGGTGCTCGTGGCTCACATCTGTCATCCTAGCTACTCAGGAGGCTGAGATCTGAGGATCACAGTTCAAAGCCAGCCCAGGCTGGCTTATCTCCAATAAGTTACTCAGAAAAGGCCAGAAGTGGCACTATGGCTCAAGTGGCAGAGTGCTAGCCTTGAGCCAAAGAGTCTCAGGGACAGCACCCAGGCCCTAAGATCAAGCTCTAGGACCAGCACAAAAAAAGAAAAAGAAAAGAATCCAGTGTGTGTCATTTTGTTATGACAGCCCAAATGGACCAAGACATGCTGAAAGGGAGTGTTCTCATTTGTATGGGTGTGTTGTAATAGGGCCTGCTATGTCCATCTCCTTTTATAGAGCTCATGGCTGAGAGGCTGGAGCACAGGTGAGAGGTGACCAGGAGTAGCAAAGTGGCCTCCCTGTCTCAGAGTCCTGCGCTTTCTTCCTTGGCTCCTAAGCCTTCTTTGATTCCTGTTCCTGTTCCAAGCTGAAGTTTCAGTGGGAGGATGTTTGGAAGATAAGCTCAGTAGAAAAATCACAGAACTCACCAAAGTTGTCATATTCAGAGGTACAATGTATTTTTTCGTGTATTTTCTTATTTATTTCACTGGTCTTGGGGCTTGAACTCAAGGCCTGGGTGCTGTCCCTGAGCTTTTCTTTGCTCAAAGCTAGGATTCTACCACCTGAACCACATTTCTTTTCTTGGCTTTTCTGGTGCTTAATTGGAGATAAAAGTCTCACAGACTTTCTTGCCCAGGCTGCATTTGAACTGTGATCCTCAGATCTCAGCCTCCTGAGTAGCTAGGATGACAGGCATGAGCCTCCAGCATCCAGGAAGTGTTCATTTATTACAATGAAAGGACACAGGTAATTAGCAGCAGCAAGAAGCAGCACACAGGGCAGGGGTCAGGCATCAGCTTCCAGTTTCCTTCTAGTGGAACTACTTTTTTCAGTAATGAGTGACAACACAGATGGAGTACTGACAATCAAGAACATTGTCCTGAGCCTTGAAGTCCAGAGTTTTTATTGGGGGACCGCCAAATTGGACACCATTGACTCAGCCAACTTAGGTTAGAACCCAGTCTCACAGAGACTGAGCCAGGACTCCCATTGTAAACCACAATGTTAGTCCAGACTACCGACTATAGTTCAACACCTCCAAGGAAACAGGCAATCCAGCAGAACATTCAAGAGGCTGAGGGATTATTACATCCTAGATGTCTAGGGGAAGAAACCACATCATTCTTGGAAGAAAGTTTGTCTTTTTTCTAAACATCAAGCCCCCTTCTGCATTGTCTCCATTGCCAGCATTCCTCCACTTGGTCCAAGAGCTCCTTCCTAGGTCCTCATGCAACCTCCTGAGGAAGGCCCAAAAGATTCCATCATCTCTGTATTCCGAGTGAGTCAGCTGAGGCTCAGAGAGAGCAAGAAACTTCTCCAAGGGAATATGAGTTGCTCTCCTTTTCTCCTGTCCTGACCCTGCATACAATGTCTTGGGGCTCCAAGGACTTGGGGCTCCACCCAGGTGCCAACGGGCATAATGGCTTTAATGGGCCAGCAGCTGAGCAGAAAAAATTAGTCACTGGAAGGTCAGAAGACTGAGGTCAGCTGAACTTCATCTTAAATGGTTAAGGATCTAAATGTTTTTAAATTGGCCTAAACCCACTGCAATGAACCTACAATTAGCCGTCCAACTGCCTTCTCTGATTGTGTGTGTGAAT